GGAAGGTGCCCCGGCCAGCCATGGAGCTCTATCGGCTGGTGGAGGTCCAGTGGGAAGAGCAGGAGGCCAGCAGCCCCTGGACACGGGCCGAGGACCATGAGCCCGACAGCAGCACAGACACAGAGCAGTACATGGAGGACCAGTACTGGCCCGAGGACCTGGCTCAGGGCAGCCAGGGTGGAGCAGGGTCGGGGCAGGCGCAGGATGGCAGGGAGTGAAGGAGGAGTGCAGCGAGTGGGAAGCGGGGAGCAGAGGGCCCCAGCGCTTCGTCTGGGCAGGGCCAGGCAGGGCAGGGTGCGGCTGGCCAGCCAGGTCAGAGGAGCTGGGACTATCGTCCCTGGGATGTCCTCTGCCTGTGGCACCACACTCTTTTTCTAGGGCCTTTCTTGGTTCTTTCCCCTGACTCCTGTGGTTTGCTAATGGCACTTTATGGGTACCGTGGGAATGTCATTGGCCTGTCCTCCAGGCCCCTACGGAGTAGGGGATGTACCAAAGACAGACCAGGCTGCCGCCAGGCCGTCCCCTCCTCGGGATCCTCCCCGGTCCCTGGGCTGCGCTATCTGAAGGCTTTCGGTGCCTTCCTTGGGTGGAGATCCACGTCGTGGGTCCTCCTTATCTCAGCTCCGACCTAGGGTGAAGTCTGCTGTTGCCACCTACCTCTTACTTCAGAGTCACTTTCAGGTTCAGAATAAATATGCCTCAAAGCTAGAGAGTTAAGGCCTCTGAGGGAGACGTTTCTTCTCCCTCTGCCCTGGAGTTCTGTGGTAGGCATTTGATGCTCCACATGACCCGTCACCGCCCTGCTCAAATACAGAAGGAAAGGCCTCCCTTGGGGGAGCTGGCCCTCACTCCCCGGAGGGGTGGAGAGGAAGGCAGAAAGGCTTTACCTAAAAACTGGCGTATTTATTTTGATCCAAATTAGGAACCCCCTGCCCACTCAGCATTCAGCTGAGAAGGGGCTGGCAGGTGGCGCAGTGGTTAAGGGGTGACCATGCCTGACCTTTATCAGGAGGGGGCCACCATCAAGAGGGCCGGGTCAGGGCGCTGGCAGCTGTGCAGTGTCCCTGACCTTGGCTGGTGCCCCCTCGGCTCTTGGGTTGACAGTCACTGTGGCTTTGGGGTTTTCTCCCCTTTTTTTGTTTTAAGGGGGGCACTGCTGTGAGCACGTCCCCCCCCCCAATCATCTGAGGCTCCAACTCTGCACACACTGGGAGTCACAGTGTTTGATCACGGGTGCGGTGGCCTGTCCACTGGCTGAGTCACCGACCATGCTAGACTGGCCCTGGGACCTTGCTCTGGGTTCTGAGACAGGCTGTGGCTGACGCCAGATTCAGAACTGGGCCTGCCGTTCTGTGTTTGGGGTTGAATGGGGATGGAGCTGTTACAGGTGTACTGTTGTCCTGTTCCTGTCAGCTTTGTTGTGGTCTTGAGGGTGAGGGAAGAAGATAATAAAGATACAGAGCTTATATAATTCATTTTTATAACACAACTTATTTAACTTGTTTCTCCCTGAAGCTGTGTAGTCACTTAAAACTTAAAAAAAAAAAAAAAAGTTTTTAATTTGCTAGAGGGCTCATGTGCTCCGGGGAGAGAGACAGAGGAAAACAAGAAAGCACCCTCCACAGGGAATAGTCACGCTGTTCCTCCTCCATTTCTCCCTCCCTCTGGAATTTGGGCACGAACCCACACGCACCCACACGCACCCAGCACATGACGCCAGGGCCGGGACTCAGACCTCACAGTCAGCCATGTGGGATCCAGCCACCTTAACCACCACACCACAGGCTGGTCCTACAACATTTTTAAGTTGTAAAATACACACAACACAGAACCCACATTTTGAGTTGCAGTTAGTGTAAGTACGCGCATGTCATCAGCTGATCTCCAGACCTTTCCATCTTGCGAAACAAACTCGACCCATTAAGCAATGACTTGCCTTTGACCCTCACCAGCCTCCCCCTAGCAACCGCCATTCTGCTGCCTTTTTTTTTTTTTTTTTTTTTGGAGAAGTTTTTACTATAGGGCGCATGCGCTCACCAGACAGACACAGAGAGACAGAAAGCGAGAAATCACCCCCCGGGGGGATGGCCACACCGCAATCCCTTCTCCATTCTCCTCTCAGGATCTTGGGCATGCACGCACACATGCCCAGAGTGTGTTTAAACCGCCGGGTCCAGGACTCGAACCACGGTCAACTACATGGGAGTCCAGCGACATAGCCATTACGCTAACTGCTGGTCCCATTCACCATTCTGGTTTTTTGGTTATTTTTTTTTTTTTTTGAGAGGATTTTGCTATAGGGTGCATGTGCTCTCCAGACAGACAGACAGAAAGAGAGACAGAAAGCGAGAAATCACCCCCCAGGGGGGATGGCCACGCTGCAATCCCTTCTCCATTCTCCTCTCAGGATCTTGGGCATGCACGCACACATGCCCAGAGTGTGTTTAAACCGCCGGGTCCAGGACTCGAACCACGGTCAACTACATGGGAGTCCAGTGATATAGCCATTACATTAACTATTATTATTTTAAAATTTGCTCTAGGGCATGGGTGCTCACGAGAGAGGGAGAGAAAGAAGGCAAGCCGCCAGGTCCCATACTCAAACCACGGTCGACCATGTGGGGGTCCAGCACCTTAAACACCATGCCACCTACTCGCCCTCTATTTTCTGTTTTTTGATAGTAGCCCTCCTGATGGATAGGAGGCGATACTGTGGTTTTGATTTCATTTCCCTAATGATTAGTGATGTTGAGCATCTTCTTACGTATCAGAATATTAATTTGTAACGTTTTATATGTGTATGTTGGGGTTTTGTACTGCTTGCTGTAGGGCGTTTGCACTCCCCAGGAGAGAGCAAAATCTCCGCTCTGGGGGGAAGCCACAGCAGTCCCTCCATTCTCAGAATCCCTCCTCCATTCTCAGCAGTCTTTGAGCACACACAGGCTTTCTCAAGCCGAGGGGTCCAGGACTCAAACCATGCAGTCAGCCATGAGGATCCAGCTGTGTTAACCTCCGCGCTACCTACTGGTCCTTTGTGTGTCCTACAGAATACAGTCCGTTAGCAGTTGCACATGAACTGGGTTGGGCTACACGACATTGCTGATACTGGGCTCCTTTATGTGGGTCAACCCAAATACGTGTACACATCTCGGGCTGGGGACGCTAAGCTGGAAGGGCAGGTTGCCACAGGGAGAGCTGGTGTTAGGAGTCTGTGTATGTCTTGGGGACCCAGAGAGGGCCACACCAGCAGCCTTGGGACCTGCTAAGGTCATAACAAGTAGGCCTGGCAGGAAGTGTGTCTGGTAAGGTTGACAGGTTTGCTGAGTGACATATTTTCCTACTGTCAACACAATCCAATAGACTGTGGGGTTGGCAGCGGAGGGGTGGGGCCAGTTCAAGTAGGAGCAGCAGCCCTAGGAACTTGCCCCTTCCTGCAGCTGGGGCCTGGCTCCTCCCTAAGTGCTGTCAGTCACCAGTGCCTGGGTCCAACAGCGGGACACACAAGCCACTTGGACATGGTTCAGCCTAATCCAGATAGGGTCCTAGGTGCTGGGGCCCTACCCACGCGAACAGAAGTTAGAACAGACAGTGAACAAGGACTGTGTGGGGTATTTCAGGTGGGGCTGACCTTCTATTCGAAAACCCAGAGAGGGTGTGGGAAGTCCAGGAGACGGGTGTGTGTGTGGGGGGGGTTTGTTTGCTTTTTTTCCTTTTTTAAAATTTTGCAAAAGGGCATATGTGCTCCCTGGAGAGACATAGAGAGGGAAAGTAAGAAAGCTCCCCCATGGAGGATGGTCACACCATGGCAGTTAGGATGTTAGGGTGCTGGACTCCTTGCTGACCACAGTTTGAGTCCCGGACCTGGCGGTTTGCTTTCTCGCTTTCTCTCTGTCTCTCTCTGGTCAAATAAAAATGACATTAAATAAATGAAATTAAATAAATAATTCTTTTTTTGGAGAGGTTTTTGCTATAGGGCGTGTGCGCTCACCAGAAAGAGAGAGACAGAGAGAAAGTGAGAAATCAGCCCCCCCCCAGAGGGGGATGGCCACACCGCAATCCCTTCTCCTCCATTCTCCTCTTGGGATCTTGGGTGCCCGGCGTGAGTTTTAAGCCACCGGGTCCAGGACACGAACAGCAGTCGACGACATGGGAGTCCAGCAACATAGCCATCACGCTAACTACTGGTCCCAAATAAAAAATTCTTGAAAAAAAAAAGTGGTTGGAACGTAGTGGGCAGGGGAGCAGTGAAGGCACGGGAAGGAGCTTGGCTTCCTGCACTGCTACCTGTCTCTTCCAGCTGAAGCACAGAGACCCCATCATTCTGGCCCCTCTGGGCATGGAGCCTGGGGTGGGAGGAATGGAGGGCCACCATCTGGGGCGTGTGGCAGGGCCTGCTGGTGAGTCGCCAGCATGTAAGCTAAGGCCTCCACCTGGGTGATGGGTAAGGCGAGGTAGGAGAGACCCAGAGCGGCAGAGGAGAGGGCCTGGGAACTACCCACGGGAGGAGCTTTGATTTTTTTTTTCTTTCTTTTTCTCTTTGACAACAGGAAACCACTACATTCTTGAGATAAGTGTCATGACGAGGCAACAGTCTAGATTTGGGAAACAATCCAAGAGGACCCTAAGGACAGTGGGGATGGGGCATGGGTGTGGTACGTGGGGGAGAAAGGGAGCCCTGAGACCCTAAGGAGAGTGGGGACGGGTGTGGTACGGAGATGAAAGGGAGCTCTGAGGTTGCAGATTTGGAGCCAAAGCCAAGGAGCAGGTGCAGGATGGGGGTGTAAGGTGGAGGACTGGAGGGGCAGAGAGGTGTTCTGAGGCCAGAGGAGGCGAGTGAGCATGAGGAGGTGAGGGCCTGTGTGAGGCTGTTGTCTGCATCACCACAGGGTGCAGGGGGTCCCATGGGGATTGTCGAACCCACCCTCCAGTTGGATCTTTAGGGGGTTACTTTTAAAAAAAATTGATTTAATTTGATTTATAATTATGATGATTAATGTCCAGTAGGGTACATGCACTCACCAGAGAGGGCGAGCAAGCACCAGGTCCAAGACTGGGATGCAGCTGGCCCTGTGGGAGTGCAGTGCCCTAAGCACCATGCCACCTGCTGGCCCCTGGGTTGCTTTTTAAATGCATGCTCATGTAAGGCAACAGGTGTGCAGTTTCATTTCCTCCTACATCCGGGCAACAAACTCATGCAATTTGACAAGCAAATAGTCCCCCACACAACTCGAATTCATGCGGAAGTTGCTCATTCACGACAGGAACGCAAAATAAGCTGGTACTTCAAATTCGAACCAGCTGAACAACAAACAAGGCCTTCTCATGTAGGCACGTTTCAGTGTCCAGTTTTGAGGTGTATGAAAGGTGAGGGCTATTGAACCAACCCTCCAGTTGGATCTTCTGGGGGTTGCTTTTAAAAAAAAATAAAGAATTATTTTATGTATTTTTTTTTTAATTTGCTATAAGACACGTGCGCTCACCAGAGAGAGAAAGAGAAAGAAATCAAGCCTCCGGGTCCAGGACTCGAACTGTGGTCAGCCATGTGGTCGTCTGTGTGCTTGGTGATCTGGGGATGTTCCTTTCCAAACCACAATTCTCTGTGACCATGGGGGACAGTCAATCAGACTGATCAGTTCTCTGTGGATCAGGGTAAGAGGCATGTACAGGGGCTCTCAACTCAGCACTGGCGAGTCTCACCACGTATATGACCCGCCCATTGTCACTCACGATCTGGTAAACACCAAATGCTCCCTACAAGTCAGGCTCTGTTCCAAGAACTCCAAGTTGAAGCTTCAGAAAGCACAGAGCCCAGGAAGTGTGGCCGAGCAGGCCAGCAGTGCCCTCAAAGTCTTCCTTCTTGTCCTTAAACAATGTCAACCCAAGGGCCAGCAGATGGCATAATGGTTACGGCACTAGACTCCCACGTAGTCGACTGCAGTTTGAGTCCCAGCCCCAGCGACTTAAAAATCCACACCAGGCGCGTGTGTGTACATGCCTAAAATCCCGAGAGGAGAATGGAGGAGAAGGGATTGCAACATGGCCATTCCCCCTCCGGGGGGGGAGGGTTGATTTCTCACTTTCTATCTCTCTCTGCCTCTCCAGCAAGCGTACATGCCCTATAGCAAAAATCTCTCAAAAACAAACAAGGAAACAAAACAATGTCAGTCTAGCTGGAAGCCAAGTCTCTTGAGACACCCCTAAACCCATGGAGACCTGGAAGGCCTCCCTCACTGCCTTGTCTTCCCTGGGTTGGAGTGACCACTGCCCCTCCCACCCCAATCTTCTCTTAGGAAGGAGAACCCAGAGGCAGCTCCCTGCCCCCAAGAAAGACCTCGCAGTATCAGTGTCAACTGGTGCAGGGACACTTCCTGGGCTCCAATCCTGGCCATGTTTATTCTCTGGGCGGAGGGTGAGAAAGGGAAGAGAGATGTTGCAATCTACTCCCTCCACGTCAGATGCGTCATCCGAAGAGGAGGAGGGCAGCGGCAACCGAGGGACACCCCGGCAGGGACCCTGCCGGCTCCGTCAGCCCTGACTCAGGCTGGGGGATCTCCCCACCTGCCTGCAGCTAGCGGGGAGATGGAGCAGCCCAGCCCACATGCCCGGCCTTCCGCCCCCTACTCCGCTTGATAACAGACTAGAAACTGAAAGGGGATCAGGCTGCCTGGCTTGAAGTCCCAGATGAGTCACTGCTGAGAGCGGCTGCTGTAGCTGGGAGGTGGCAGCAGAGAGGCAGACGCGAGCCCAGGGCGCAGAGCCAGCAGGTGAGAGGGGGAGACCGAGCTGGAGCCAGCGGGGCCAGCAGCGGGAGAGCGGGCTGCGGGGCAGGACACGCACCGCGGAGGCTGGTGGCCTGGTGAGAGGCCAGCTTCCCCTGTTGCCAGGTGGCGCTGGGGACAAAGGGCAGGACCGAGGGCACGGGCCAGCTGGGGGGTGGCCCAGGATACCTGGATGCTCGGGGGCCCCACACCTGAGCCCCACCCCCGCCACTGCCCCTCTCTCTCCAGCACAGCTAAGAGACCCCAAGGAGCATGGCGCGCGGCATGGAGGTGGTGGCCATGGACTGCGAGATGGTGGGGCTGGCGCCCAACGGGGAGAGCGGCCTGGCGCGCTGCAGCCTCGTGGACCTCCACGGCGCCGTGCTCTACGACAAGTTCATCCGGCCCGAGGGGGCCATCTTAGACTACAGGACCCGGGTCAGCGGGGTCACGCCTCAGCACATGATGAAAGCCACACCATTCGCTGTGGCCAGACGGGAGGTAGGTAAGGGCCTCGTGCCAGCCAGGCTGAGGGGGGCTACACAACCCCCCTGCACACACACACCCGCTCGTCCCACTCAGGATCTGTGACCCGGGACCCTCCACACTGCTGGGGGGTCAGCCCCGAGGTGTCTCCATCGCATCACTGAGAAGGCTTCTCGCCACAGACCTCGGGCTCACGTCTGGGACCTGCCTTCTCGGCATCAGTCCAACTCGCTGGGCTCCTGATGGGGAACCCGAGTCCCACCTGACATGCCCCCCCCCAGGGACTTGGGGACCACATCCCCACTCCTTCCTCTGCACAGATGCCACTGGTGAGTCCCGGGGTAATTGAGGAACAGGTCTTGATCTGAGGCCCCTCGCAAGAGGCAATGGCTCCCCTAGGGTCTGGAGAACAGGCCTGAGCCTCCCTGGCTGAGGGTACCGAGGCGTTCTGGGCGACGACGGGCCGTTCCCTCGGCTGGAAGCCCAACCTAATGGTCCCAAGGTTTCCTGCCCCTTGCCCGCCCGCCTGTGGCCGTATGTACTCCAGGGCTAACTTTCGTTTCTCTGAGTGCTAAATGGAAAGCAAAACAGAGCCAAAGGGTGTCACTGAGGGTAGTCATCTCCTGGCAGCTCAGGAGGGCCAAGAAAGGCATCTAAGAACACAGGAAGCTGAGGTTTGCCAGCAGGGCTGCAGGTGCTGGAGGGAGAGTCACAACAGGAACTTGCGTTTACTGAGCCCTCGCTGAGCCCCAGGCCTCCCACACACGTGCCATCTGTGAGCTCCGGCCACTCCTCACCAACATCCAGCCAGGTGGGGTCCCAGGACCGTTACCTCAGAGCTCACAGAAGAGGGAAGGTCTGGGGGCCGGCAGGTGGTGTAGTGGCTAAAAGTGCTGGATTCCCACCATGGCCAGCCATGGTTCGAGTCCTGGACCTGGCGGTTTGCTTTCTCACTTTCCCTCTCTCTCTCTCTCTCTGTCTGGTCAAATTAAAAAGTAATAATAACAAATGGAATTAAATAAGTACATCTTTGCGGGGGAAAATAAAAGAGGGAAGGCTTGAATCCCGATCGTTACCTACCAGCTAAGGTTGGTAACTTGGACAGGTTACTCAACCTCTCTGGACTCAGTTTCCTCATCTAAAACAAGAGGATACTGGTAATAATAACAGTAGCGATTTTACAGGGTTGTTGTAACCCTTGAGAAGGGCCTGTATCAGCACTCAAAAGCATGTTCGCACTTATTTTATTATTATTATTATTTTAGTTTTTGCTAAAAATCTAAACTAGGGCACATGAGAGAGAGAGACAGAGAGAGAGAGAGAGAAAGAAAGTGAGAAATCCCGCCCCGGGGGGGAGGATGGCCACACCACAATCTCTTGTCCTCCATTCTCCTCTCAGGATTTTGGGTATGCACGCGCACGCACCTGGTTTGATATTCAACCTGCCAGGTCTGGGACTCAAACCTCTGAGTCGGTCATGTGGAATCGAGCTGCCTCCCCCACTGCATTACCTACTGGCCCCTAGGACAGTTTCTTTTTCTTTCTCTTTTTCTTTTCTTTTTTTTTTTTTTTTAAGGTTTTTGCTATAGGGCACATGTACTCACTGGAGAGAGACAGAGAAAGATAGTGAGAGGGAAAGTGAGAAATCACCCCGTAGAGGGGACGGCCATGCCTCGATCAATTCCTTCTCCTCCAATTTCTTCCTGGGATTTGGGGCACACATGCACGGGTGCTCAGCATGAGCTGCAAGCCTCTGGGTCTGGGACTTGAACCACAGTTGGCCACATGGGGGCCCAATGCCTTAACCACTATGCTACGTCCTGGCCCCCATGATGTTTTCTTTTGTTGTTGTTTTTTTCCTGAGAGGTTTTTGCTGTAGGGTATGTGCACTCACCAGAGAGACAGAAAGTGAGAAATCAGCCCCCAGAGGGGATGGCCATACCACAATCCCTCTCTTCCACTCTCCTCTCTGGATTTTGGGCATGCACGCACACATGACCATTGTGTTTTAAGCCGCCAGGTTTGGGAATTGAACCACGGTCAACCACTTGGGAGTCTAGCACCTTGACCACTATGCCGCCTGCTGGCCTCCAAGATGGTGTCTTTGTCATCTCCACGGTATTGGTGCTGGCTTGAGCTTAGTGTCTCAGTCTGCCTGGGCCGTCCTAGGAAGCGCCATCAGCTGGGTGGCGCTGATAACAGACACTCATCGTCTGGCAGGTCTGGAGGCTGGAAGTCTCAGATAAAGGGGTTGGGAGGGCGAGTTCCTTCTGAGGGCTGTGGCCCCCCGTAACCTCCGGTGGGTGCTGTCAGTCTATGCGCTCCTTGGCCTGGAAAAGCATCACCCCAGCATCAGCTTCCATGCTCCTGTGGCTTTCTCCCTACATATTTCTAACTACATTTCCCTTTTATCTTTTTTTTTTCCGCTCTTCTTTTTTTTTGGAGAGGTTTTTGCTATAGGGCGCGTGCACTCGCCAGAAAGAGAGAGAGAGAGAGATAGAGAGACAGAAAGTGAGAAATCACCCCCAGGGGGGATGGCCACGCCGCAATCCCTTCTCCTCCATTCTCCTCTCAGGATCTTGGGCACATACGCACACGCGCCCGCCGAGAGTTTAAGCCACTGGGTCTGGGACTTGAACCGCGGTCAACTACATGGGAGTCCAGCAACAGCCATTATGCTAGCTGCTGGTCCCCAGATTTCCTCTTTTGAAAAGGACACCAGTCCTGTTCGGTCAGAAGCTCATCCTCCTCTGGTGTGACCATGTCCTAACCTATCTAATGACATCTACCCTTTTCCAAGTCAGTCCCATTCTGAGGTCCCGGGGATTAGGATTTCCACACATCAGTGTGGGGCAGGGACCGTAACTGAACCCGTAAACTAAGTAACTTGCACAGGTTCAGGCAGCAAGAGTGTGGACGGTCAGGACTGAACCTCCAGAGCTGCGCGGTCTAGGAGGGGAGCAGCCAGCCTCGTGCTGCAGGTGAGCACTACCATGGGACCGCTCCCAACGAGACACGCTGCGAGTGTAAAACCACACTGGATTTTGAAAACGATATTTATCAAAGAGCCATAAGGGGCCAGCAGGTGGTATAGTGGTTAAGGTGTTGAACTCCCACGAGATTGACTGCAGTTCGAGTCCCGGACTCGGCAGCTTGAAACACACTGGACACGTGTGTATGTGCGTGCCCAAATATCCCATGAGGAGAAATGGAGAAGGGATTGTGGCATGGCCATCCCCCCAGGGGTGATTTTTTTTACTTTCTTTCTGTCTCTCAGGTGAGCGCACATGTCCTATAGCAAAAATCTCTCCTTCCCCACAAACAAAAGGGAAAAAAGGAGTCATGAAAGACCTCAGTAATTTTTTCATATTGATTACAAGTTGAAATGATAGTATTTTAGACATACAAGGCTAAATAAAACATTATGGTTGATTTCACCTGTTGCATTTTACCTCTCTAAATCTGCCTATTCAGTGATTTAAAATTGCACCTCTGTTCTAGAAGTACCAAGAGGATACTGGATGCCCTGGGGAGCAGCACAGTATATCTTTATTTATTTATTTATTTATTTATTTATTTATGGAGAGGTTTTTCACTATAGGGCGCATGCGCTTGCCAGAGAGACAGAGAGAGACAGAAAGCGAGAAATCACCCCCCCGGGGGATGGCCACGCTGCAATCCCTTCTCCTCCATTCTCCTCTCAGGATCTTGGACACGCACGCACACGCACCCGGCGTGAGTTTTAAGCCACCAGGTCCGAGACTCGGACCGCGGTCAACATAGGAGTCCAGCGACATAGCCATTACACCAACTGCTGGTCCCCAACACAGTATATAGTAGGGTAATTCTGGAAGACCTCCGTGAGGCCGAGTGACATTTGAAAGGAATTGGGGAGAATCTTTGTAGGCGATTAAGTGGGCCATAGGGAGCCATCGAAGATTCTTGTGTAAGGGTATAGCAAGAAACAAAAAAAAGTTTCAAGAAAGCTAAAAATGGGGGTACCACAGAGGAGTGATGGGAGTGAAGAGAAGGGTGACAACAGAAGAGTTAGAGGCCCTGGGGAGCAAGTGTGAGGTCCGAGTCATCTGTGGCAAAGAGAGGACTGGAAAGAGGGAAGTGTCACGGAGGAGGAGAGGGGCCAGAGGTGGCACAGTGGTGACGTTGCTGGCCCACTACGGTTTGGGTCCCGGACCCCGTGGCTTGAAAATCACACCGTGTGCATGCCTAAGATCCCAGGAGGAGAATGGAGAAGAGATTGCATTGTGGCCATCCCTCCTGGGGGGTGGTTTCTCACTTTTTTTCTCACTGCCTCTTTCTCTCTCTTTCCAGTGAGTGCAAACAGGTCCTATGGCAAAAACCTCTTTACAAAAAAAAGGAGGAGGCAGGAGGCCAGGCCAGCAGGTGGTGTGGTGGTTAAGCCAGCTGGATCCCACATGACTGGCTGTGTGGTTTGAGTCCTGGACCCAGTGGTTTGAAAAACATGCAGAGCACATGTGCGTGCGTGCCCCGAATCCTGAAAGGAGAAGGAGAGGGGACTGCAGTGTGGCCATCCCCCGGGGGGTGGGGTCCTGTCTCTATCTCCTTCTGTGTGTTTCTCTCTGAGGAGTACCCACACCTTATGGCAAAACAAAACAAAACAAAACAAAACAAAGAAGTAGGGACTGAAAGACAATCACCCAGCAGGGAGGGCGACATAAAGAAGAGCCCAGGGCCTGTTCCCAGGGCCATGGGAGGGCCTGGGACTCTGCAGGGGGCTCCCCGCCCTCGGCTCCCCACTGAGCAGTCTGGTGGATGGTGTGCCCCAAGCTTCCTCTTTGTGGCCAACAGCCCTCCCCACCTGATGACAGAAAGGGACAGAAATGCCCAGGTCAGGGGGAGGGAGGCAGTAGAGAAATCCCTCTCCCATTCACCAGCCCAGAGGCCACAGTGGCTTGTGATTTCAGTGTGATTTCAGCTGTAACAGCTCAGCACGGGCCCGCCACCTGGCAGGGCTCACTGGGGCTTGGCTGGATGGAGGAGGAAGACTTTGTCATCCACATGTCCCCCTAGGGGAAGTGACCTTGGGACACTTGGAGAGCTTGGCCAGGGACAAGAGGAGAGAGGGGGCCTGGGGCCACTCCTGAAGATGACAGGAGAGGAGCTCATTCCCCCACGAGGACACCGCTGTCCAGGGCCCCTTCCTCACAGCCACCTCTGCTGGAGACCAGAACCGAAGGACGAACGCATACTTGAACAGATGAGCAAAGGAACGGACACGCGGGTGAACGGAGGGGCAGGGGAAGCAATGAACGGACGGCCGCGTGCACGCATGAACGGACGGGTGCAGGACGGAAGCCGCCGGCGCTGCGCAGCTTCAGGCTTCCGCGCGATTTCCAGACGCACCAGATGGGAGGGATCCCCGGGCAGCTTTGCTAGCACCCCGCCCCCGTGATTCTGAGTAGTCAGTCTGGAGTAGGGCCCGGGTCTGTGGAGGTGTGGAGTCAGGGACATTTAGGAAAAGCTCAGATATCGAGTGGAGCTGCAGTCCAAGAAATACGCAGGCAGACAGCTACCCTGGCCCGTCACGCCCCTGCTGTGTGCCCTGGGTACACCCTGCTCGGCCTCCCCCATTTGCTGGTTGATTAGAGGTAGGACAATCCCCGCCTTTTAGAGGGTGCATTCTCGATTCCAGGAATCTCCACTGAGTGCCCTCGCGGGCCTGGCAGTGCCCTCTGCCCGGAGGGGCCCAGTAGACGGTATTAATATCTACAGTAATAGTAATGACTGGGTCGTGGGGTCCAGACCCTGCATCTCTGTTTCTGATCACCGCTGTGTGACCCAGGCAAGCTCCTCAAGCTCTCTGATCCTCGGGCCCCCTCTCTGTAAGACAGAATTGGAAGACTCTTGCAGAGGAGCCTCACTAGGAGGTAAGGAGAGGGCCCGACACAGCCGAGCTGACGCCAGAAACGCCCCGCCCTCTACTCTCCATTCTTTCCAGGAATTCCAGCCGCTCCGCCCCCTGTGCTTGGCAAACTCTGACACACCTGCCTCGTGACAGTGACTCAGGGCAGGTCCCTGAGCCAGCAGGTCACACAGCCCCGGGCCCAGTCCTGGGGTGCCTGATGCAGTCCCCCCCGCGCCCCCACCCTGACTCTGGGATTCAGGAAGTGAGATGTTTCCTAGGAATTCACATCACAACGACTTGGCCCTCTCCCATCTGGGACTGGCTGTGGCTGTCTCTGGGTTGGAGGACAATTTCCTCTGGGGTTTTGTGTGAGCTGGGCCCCAGCCAAGTTCCTGGGCTGGGAAAGCGGGCCCATTGTTCAGGAGCACAGAGGAGGCACGTGACCAACCGCGTGTGCCCAGCACAGCGCAGCCCCCTGCCCTGTGCCCTTCGTCCCCTACCCACCGCCCTGCCACAAGGGGAGCCAGCACCCACGCCTGCTCCTCCACCCCAGGAGTCCCCTTCAGCTGCTGCACCGAGGTTGTGAGACCATCCTTAATACCTCAGCGTGAACCCCAGGCCAGCAGCACCGCCTGGTACAACGTACCTTGTGTTATTTTATTATTTACTTTGCTCAAGGGTGTGCACACTCACCAGAGAGACAGAGAGGGAAAGTAAGAAAGCAACCCCTAGGGGGCATGGTCACGCCACAATCCCTCCTCCTTCCACACACTCACACACCCGGCATGTATACAAGCTACCGGGTCCAGGACTTGAACTGTGCAGTTGCCCATGTGGGATCCAGTGCCTTAACCACCATGCCACTGGCTGGCCTGAAATCTCCCTATTTTAAGGTCATTTGATTGGCAGCCTAAACTCCGTGTGCAGCTACAGTTCCCCAGTGCCAGGTAACCTGTTACACCGTTCTGGGGAGTAGACCCATGGGCATCTTTGGGAGGTCGGCCTTCTGCCTGCCACACGAGGGCTGCTGAGATTAGACAGCATCTCACTTGGGATGGTTTCGGATGTGTGCTTGGCAGGTGGGACATCTCAGGTCCTGGTGGCCTTCAACACAGACTCAAACTACCGAGTACAGGGAAGAACCTGGCCCACTCTCCTCTCTTCATAGATGATTGTTTTTGAGAGAGATTTTTGCTATAGGGTCTGTGAGCTCGCCAGAGAGAGCCTTAGAGACAGAGAGACAGAAAGCAAGAAATCACCGCCCCCAGGGGGCATGGCCATGCCACAATTCTCCTCCATTCTCCTCTTAAGATTCCGGGCACGTGCACACACGTGCCTGGCATGAGTTTCAAGCAGCCGGGTCCGGGACTTAAACCACAGTCAGCCATGTGGGAGTCCGGCGCCTTCACCACCACACCACCTGCTGGCCCCTAGATGATAAGTTCGAAGCCCAGAGAGGGATGGTGATGTTGGTCCAAGGTCACACAGCAAAGGGTGGACAGGCTGCTCCCCGCCAGCCCCACGACTGCACCCAGTCGCCCCAGACCCATCCAGAAGGTGATGCAAATGGGGCGCGTGTTCTCCCGGCCAGATCCTACAGCTCCTGAGAGGCAAGCTGGTGGTGGGGCATGACCTGAAGCACGACTTCAAGGCCCTGAAAGAGGACATGAGTGGCTACTCCATCTACGACACGTCCACCGACATGCTTCTGTGGCAGAAGGCCAGACTGGACAACAGCAGGGGCGTGTCCCTGCGGGTGCTGAGCGAGCGCCTGCTCCACCGCAGCATCCAGGTGAGGGCCTCCCCCCTCTGAGCTGGGCGGCTCCGCTCTGCTCCTGCCCTGGGGCCTGGCCTCTCCCTCCAGGACCTTAGAAACCCCCAGGGGCTCCGGGCAGATATTTGCCCCAGGACTCCCCTTCCCTTTACTCCTAAGAAGCCGTGAACTTATGACAGGGGGGGATGTCTTTGGGTTTCCCCGAGACGAGGCCCGGAGTACACACAGTTTATTCGACAAGTGTCCCGGAAAGTACCGGTAGAGAGAGGAGGAGGGCAGGGAATGGAAAGAACCCAAGAAAGGCATATTTGTTTTTGTTGGTAATTTTTTTTTACTATTTAGTTTTATTTATTTGTTCATTTTTTAAAATTTGACCAGAGAGTCACACACACACACACACACACACAGAGAGAGAGAAAGAGAGAGAGAGAGAGAGATAAAGAGGGAAAGTGAGAAAACAAGCCACCAGATCCGGGACTCAAACCGTGTTCGACCCTGTGTGTGTGTCCAACGCCTTAGCCACCACGCCACCTGCTGGCCCCCATATCTGAGTTTAAAGCAAGCCAGTTACCCTGTTTGATCCCACGACAGAACTCTGGGCTGAAGCACACACCTCAGATCTGCTGTAGGGACCAGGAGCTGGGGTGTTTATACACCACTCCCCACCGGGCACCAGCGGCTGCTGCTCCTGGGGGCTAACCCCTCAGCACCTCCAGCGGGTGGGCCAAGCAGGCTCCCGCAGACCCGTAGGTGAAGACACCAGGACGTGGGGTTGGGGGTTCACCCAGGCAGGAAGGGTGGGAGGTGGGCTAGATGCTGAGAGCCAGCTGAGGTTGTAGTCAGGCCCTCCCGGTCAGCAGCTGTTTACTAAGCACCTGCTTAGTGCCAGGCTGGGCCAGATGTTGGGGACTCAGGGACTGAGCAAGACCAGCCCTGTCCAGAGGAACTCTGGTTGAATGAGAGGTGGACCCTGGTCAGATGGTCAGGGCAGCTGAGGGGAGTGTCCAGGGAGGGAAGGGCTAGCAGGCAAGGAAAGCAGACCTGAGCAGAGTTGAAAGGAGGAGTCATTGTCACAGAGGGAGAAGAGAGGGCACAGGGCCGCTGGGGATCATGACCTGGAGCCTGTGGTCAGGGGACCATCTGGCTGCGTGAGGGCCCCAGAGCACAGACACCCCTTCCAGCAGGAACTGTGTCCGAGGCAGAGCTCAGGCCTGTGTCTGGGCCTGTCTATTCGCCTCGTGACACACAGGGCCAGTCTGGGCTGTCCTCGGAGCCGCTGTCCTTCCAGAGCTGTCTGGGCCTTGCTCTAAGGGCCTGGTGCCTGGAGCCCCAGTTCAGGCTCTGTGTCCTGGTGTCTGGGCTTGTTGAGCCTGGTTGTTCCGTGACTCAGCACCCACCCCACCTAGCTCCTGCTTGCATTGCTGTCCCTGAAAAGCAGCCCTTGAGCGCCCTGCCCGAGGACAGGGGGCTGCTGTCCACGTGACCAGGGCAGCCCCATGGGACACAGGAGCGACCCTGGGGGAGCTGCCGCAGTGGGGCAGTGGCACTCTCTCCCTGAGAAGGAACAAAATGGCAGTCCTTGGGGCTCCTGTGCCAAGCCACCAGCAAAGGGACTGAGCTACACAGGAAAGGGAACCCCCACCCCCACTTGTTAATCAAGCCCCTTGGGGGAGGACCCTAGTACATGACATTCTCTCTTCCCATCCTCTAAAACAGGTATGATCGGCCCCCCTCCCCTTTTAAATAATTTGTTTTTGGGATCAGCAGATGGCGAAATTGTTATGTCACTGGACTCCCATGTAGTTCACTGCAGTTTGAGTCCTGGACCCGGTGGCTTAAAATTCAGACCAGGCAAGTGTATGTGTGTGCCCAAAGAGAGAATGGAAGAGAAGGGATTGTGGCATGGCCATCCCCCCCAGGGGGTAATTTCTCACTTTCTGTCTCTCTGTCTCTCTCTGTCTCTCCAGTGAGGGCATGCGCCCTACAGCAAAAAATCTCTTTTTAAAAAACATCTTTTTTTGTCAGAGGATATGTGCTCTCACCAAAGAGAGACAGAGATAAAGGAAGAGGGAGAAAGCACCCTGCCCCCAAATGAGATACGGTCATGCTTCCATCCCTTCTCCATTTCTCCATCCTGTTAGGATTTGGGGCATTCATGTCCATGTACCCAGCATATTTTTCCAGCCACTGGGGTCAGGATTTGAACTGTGGCTGGCCATATGGGATCTACTCCCTTAACCACCAGACCGCGGGCCATCCCACGGTTAGGACCATTTTACAGAAGAGAAAACAGAGGCCCGCAGATGAAACGCTGCTTGCCCACGTTCGCAGACCTAAGCAGAGGAGCTGGGATTCAAACCTGGGTTTGTCTGATCTCAAATCTGGGACTCTCTACCCGCCACAGGGTGAGCAGGGAACAGCCATGCTGTCTCCTGCTTCTGCCTTTGGCTCCCCACCCCTAAATGGAGCTCCCCAGTCCCCTCTCTGGGCCCCGATTTCCTCACCTGTCAAGGGTGGTGGTAGGAGCAGGTGCATGGAGACCCGTACGACACCTAGCACAGCACCCAGGGCACAGACGGCGCCACCGGGCCACCATGGCCGCCATGCTACCCTCCTGCCTAGTAACAGTGCAGAATGTGGTGGCAGTGACGAACGTCCTGTCCAAAGTGGGCCATGCCAGCGGGGTCCTGACACTCAGTCCGGAGTGTCCGGAGAAGGAGCCCGTGCAAGGAAAGGAAGGCGTCTTGCTAGAGGATCACGCGGCCAGGCCCGGGCATCCCCTTCAGCCCCTGCGGAAAACCAGCCAGGACACTGGTCCAGGCAGGGAGCACAGAGATGAGAGGTGACCCCCATGCAAGTCCGCCTGGCCCAGCACGTCCTGTGGGATGTAAACCCCAGCTCCACCACTCGCTGGCTTGTACACGAGCCTCAGTTTTACCATGGAATGGGGGAGAAGCCATACCCAGCTAGGAGGGTTTAATGGGTATCGCAAGGCTCGTGCTTCGCTCAGAGAGAGAGGCTACCTCGAGTGGACTGAGTGGCCTCCTCTGACTCCCATCAGCACCCCCCATGCCCCATAAAGTTTGGACTCCCCAACTCAGCATTCAAAGCCTTCACTAATGGGTCCCACGAATGGGTCTCCACCCCAGAGCTGAGTGGGGCCAGCCAGCCCTAGCCACCTGCAGAATTTTCTGAGTCCCGTCTCTGGGAGACTTATCCACTGACCCATCTCAGGTGGGGACTGGAAATCAGGGTGTGAGAGGGAAGGCCCCTGGATTCAGCTCACCCCGAGTCCCCACTGTGTACCTATGTCTACAGAACAGCCGGTTCGGGCACAGCTCTGTGGAGGACGCCAGGGCGGCCATGGAACTCTATCAACTCTCGCAGCGAATCCGCGCCCGCTGAGAGCTGCCCCGCCCAGCCACCGGGACTGCAGCGTGACCCGGACCTTCCCTCGGGACCAGAGACTTTGCCTCTTTGGGACAACAACTCCTTTGCTTTTGATAAATGCATTTTTAGTAGTAAGGTGGCTCTACTGTCTTTACTCCATCCCTGGGTCTTGTCACTGACTTTCTTCTCTCTGAGCCGGGAGAGACCAGCCGTAGGCAGGACCCAGGCAGCGCGACGTCAGGAAGGAATAAAACACGCTGGCGAGGCGGGCCAGAAACGATTTCCCTAATACCTCGAATCCTGTGTGTGCAAGCAGCAGCCTGGGGCTCCAAGTGGCAAGTGAGTTAATCACCGGCCTCCTGCCTCCCTTCTCCTTTTACTCATGTTTTCAGAGTGGCATTGTCCCCTGGGGCGGCCCTCAGCTCAGGAGTCTATTCATCCCATCTTTATTATTATTATCAATTGCTGGAAGGCATGTATGCTCACCAGAGAGAGACGCAGAGAAAGGGAGAGGAAGAGAGGACCCCCGCCCCAAGGAGCACAGTTAGAATCCCCTCTCTCTCCATCCTGTCAGAGCCTGGGGCATGTCCACACCTGCACCCAGCCTGCTTTTCTTTTTCTTTTTTGGAGAGATTTTTGCTAGAGGGTGCGTGCCCTCACTGCAGAGACAAAGAGACATAAAGTGAGAAATCGCTCCCCAGGGGAATGGCCGAGCCACAATCCCTTCTCTTCCATTCTCCTCTTGAGATTTTCAGCATGCACATACCCCGGATGTGTTTCAAGTCACCTGGTCCAGGACTCGAGCCATGGTCAACTATGTGGGAGTCCAGCGACATAATCATATGCCATCTGCTGGTCCCCCCAGCATGTTTTCCAAGCTGCCAGGGCCAGGGATCCAGCTCCCTTAACCACTAGGCTACAGGGCCAGCCCCCTTTGTCCATCTTGAGATGGAGTCATGGCACTTAGCGCAGAAGCAAAGGTCCGGGAGCGTGGTGGGTGCCACCTCAGCCACCCTACAAAAGCCACACCTCCTGTCTTGGGCCACTTTGTGTGGCCATGACAGAATACCACACTGGGTGATTCACAAAGGTCAGAAATTTCCTCCTGATCGTTCTGGGAAGTCCGAGGGGCCAGCATCTTGCCAAATCATCCCGTGATGGAAGGCAAGTGGGGGGAGGGAGCCAAACTAAGTCTTTTATAATGAAGCCACTGCCGTGACAACAACATGGTCCCTGCATGAGGGTGGCCCCCATTAGGCCACAACTCCCCACTCAACCTCACTGAGCTTTTGGGGACGGTTCGAATCTCAGCACCTCTTCTTTATAGGAGGAGGACGCAGAGGGAGTCGTGACTGGAGCCAGAGAGAACCAGGTTGGAACCCTGGCTTGGCCACGGGGTAGCTGTGTGACACAGGGCGAGTTACTGCGCCTCTCTGTCCCTCGGCTTCTCCCTCTAAAACGGGGACTTATCAAAGTGCCCAGAGAACTTGTGAGATCTTGCACAGGAAGCCCCTCATGCCATGCCTGTCCAGGTGAAAGCACCCGCCCAGGGTCGATAACTCATCGTTATTCTAGAGACCATCGGCAGACCTGGGGGACCCTGCTCTCCGTGCTGTTCTCGGCTGTGGAGCTTTTATTACTTTCTTAAATTTTTTTTGAGAGGCTTTTGGTATAGGGCACATGCACTCACCAGAGAGACAGAGAGACAGAGAAATCACCTCCCAGGGGGGATGGCCACGCCACAGTCCCTTCTCCTCCATTCTCTCGGGATCTTGGGCACGCACACGCCCTGAGTTTAGCCTTTATCACTTTAATTCACGCCTGTGCCCACATCGGATCCCTTAAACCAGAATCACTGGGGTGGGGCCACGGTACCTGCTAGTTTTGCTGTTGTTGTTTTCAGGTTTTGCTGTAAGGCACGTGCACTCTCCAGAGGGACAGAGACAGAGAGAGAAAATGAGAAATCACCCCCGAGGGTGGCTGGCCCGGCTGCACTCCCACCTCCTCCGTTCTCCTCTCAGGATCTTGGGCACACACGCACACACATGCAATCAGTGTGATTTTCTAGCCGCCGGGTCTGGGACTCGAACAGTGCAGTCGGTCATGGGGGGGTCCAGTGCCTTAA